TATATATATATATATGTGTGTGTGTGTGTGTGATTGCCACATCTCAGGTGAGAGTCGTTTCCTCCCTTTTCGTATCACGTGTAATGCCTTCCGTCTCGTTTCGTCGTCCATGACCCCTAACACGACTCTTGAAACCAGCATTCGATTTCATAGATATGACGTATATATGACAAATAAACTCTCTATCTGTGACTGAGTTGATTGGATCTGCTTGGCCTACAAGTCACTCGTGTACATCCCCAGTCTAACCTTGTTGCAAACAGCATACGTATTGTTGGCAGGACGATGAGGCAGGTTGGCTTGCTTCTGGTTGTTGATATAATTATCTTTCAGATGGTTTACATAATCTGCCCTCGAGAGTAGCATGCACTCACATACACCACATTTCCAAGATTGCATATTAGTTGGCAAATTAGAGTGACTCTTCGTAGATCACACTTGATCTGAGCATGCTCGAGACATTCTTCTTCAAAGGCTTTGAATTCCGCGCTTATATTTCCACTTTGTACGGTTTAAAGTCAGTACTTCCCACTGTTGAACATCCATGTGCAATGCATTCAGATTATTTTCCAAATCTTAAGATCTCTTTTAGGTTTTTACTGTGGACTCTTTCCTGTCCTCAGTTCCCTGTAGAAAGTTGTTTGGGAATCCGGTTATCCCTCCTTTCTCACGGTGTGTCCTCTCCATCGAATCTGGTTGAGGATTATTATTGTTTCATTACTGTTGCATTCAGATCTTTGGAGGACAACAGTATCTGGAATCAGACTACCATTTTATATTAAGTATGCGTCTCAGACATTTTTGGTGGAATCGCTCAAACCATTTTATATGCCTCCAATATGTTGTCCATTATATGCAAGAATTTTTTTATCCACAACTTCGAGCACAGCACTCAACACATCCGAAAATTGGAAAAATATAATAAAAATTTAAGCTGATTGACCTTGACGGTTGTGTAGGAAATTTTTTGATACACGCATACACATACATTAAATATATATATATAGTCTATAGGATTAATACAAATCAAATTTGTCACTTAGCTGATTGATTTTATGCACAGATTTATATGTATATATTTGTCTAGATATAGGTATACTTATATATATATATATATATATATATATATATATATATATATATATGTGTGTGTGTAATAAATGAATATAATACATATATAGGGTGCTATGGGTAAATTTGTTGCCATTTTATATTTTTAGTTTTGCGCATGCGCGTTGTTTGTTTTTGATTTTGTCGATTACTCAGTATATTAGGCTCAGTTGGGCACTGTGATAAAAAGAGCACCATGACGAAATTCACTCCGCCAGAAATTTAGAAACGGCATGCTGTACTGCTTGGTCTTCTCGCTGGAAGCCCCAATACGAACATTTCAGAGTGTTTGGGTGTCAGTACAAAGGATCCGGAAAGAGTTGGATTTAGTCAACCCCATAGTATTTTTGGAGTGATCACTAGTGATGACGATGTTATACCTCCATCTACAGGGTCTCTGACTGAACATAGAGGCTTATATCAGGTGCTTTGATGAGGTAGTGCTGTGCTGGGACAGGAGTGTGTCTGCTGGAAGACCCTATGTCTGGCAACATGACTCTGCACCATGCCACACAAATAGGAGGACCCAGTCATGGCTGTCAGACAATTTCTGCGACGACATAACCCCTTACATCTGGCCACCTAACTCCCGAAACTGCAATCCCCTTGATTATTATGTGTGGGGTGCAGTTGAGCAAGAGACCAACAAAACTCCTTGTAATTCCAAAGATGAACTGAAGGCAAGGATTATGGCAACATTCACCAACTTAAACAAGGAGAACGTCCAGAAGAGTTTCAGGAGATTCCGTAGTTGAAGCAAATGGCGATTTGATTAAATTTACACTTTAGTATTTCAAGATATTTTTGTGAAATTTTGGTAAACATATCTGTTAAAAATCGTTTTTTTGCGTAATGTAGACAATTTATCAATCACACCCTCTGTGTGTGTGTGTGTGTTTGTATGTATGTATGTATATATTATATATATATATATAAAATGTATTATATATAATATAACTCTATATAACACATACATAATGCACACACACATATGTGCGTATATATATATATATATATATATATATATAATCAGCCCACATACAGATAGTTAAAGTCTCATTCTTTAATTATAGTTCTTGTTTAAGACTTAAATTAGTGTCAAAATATTTTGCCAAGCTTTCCACGTTAATTTAAGAATATTGAACAAACAAAAAAGAAGATATTGAATAATTTTACCTTATAAAAATAATTGAAGCTTCATAACATTATTTGTAATTGTTTTTTGTTTTAGTCCGTAAATTAAGGCTTGTTATCCCGTTTCAAATTTAACTTTTCCTTTCCATGCTATGAATGCAATTCATTCACATCTGTCCAACACCATTTTTACTTGTCATAACCCAAGGGCGTGCTGTGTAATGGCTAGCAAACTTGTTTCGTCTGATCAATTACGACCGTGTAGTGAGTATGAGTTTAACTCTCACTGTGTTTTCCATAAACTCTGCTCAGTAAATTACTACAGAAAATCCCGTGAAATTATTCGTAATGTTTTTGTTTATTTTGTATAGTTTCGCGACGAATGAGTTAACGAAGAATCAACTTTTTTTGTTTTTAATTCGCACGCTCCAACGTAAAAAATACAACTATCTTATCTTTTTTATTGATTGGATTACTATAAAAATGAAAAAGATTTTTTCAACCATTTGAAGTTTTTGTTTTTGATTGACACAATTGTTAAAAAAGAGATTGAAAGTAACTTTTTTTTATTGTTTTTATTTCACTTTTTTGAGTTTTACTTCCTGAAAATTCGGGTGTTATATGAATTTTGATGCCCGAAAAGAAAAAATCGATGCAAAAATCTATATTCTCATTTCAAATATGCTTTTTTTTTTTTTTTAAGACAAAGAATAGAATTTTAAATAAACCTATTCGTCTTGAAAACAAACATTCTTGAAAAGTTTTACGTTTTTTAAAGTCACTGTGTAACCCCCCACCAAAAAAAAACAAAAAAAAACTTTTTTATTAGAATTATTATTCACGTCGACTTTTTTTTATCAATTTACCACAGATTCTTTGATCTGGCGTTGCCATTTTTACTTACAAAGTTTAATTTGGTGCTAAAGTCATAAGTTAAGTTATGGCACACCCAATAAAGATCGAACTGATTACATTAATTATGGTTAAATGATACTAGTAAAAATAGCCCACTGAACATTACTCCACCCTGAGGCGAAACTCTTTTCTTTTGTTGTGAAAAGTTTCCACATTAGTAGAATTTTTTTTTTGTGGACCCATCCCAGAGGCAGTACCTCCACACTTTAGTAACGAAGTCAGTCAGACTGATGCCTACAGTAAAAGCTGAGGAAACCGATCAGTTTCCCCAATCAAAAAACAAAAACTAAAAAAGCAAAACAAAAAAAAAAACAAAACAAAAAAAAACCAAAAAAAAACAACAAAGAAACAAAACAAAACCAAAAAAACCAAAAAGAAAACCCCCAAAAAACAAAAGAAAACTCCCAAAATTACATCATATAGTCATGAAAGAAACGATGCTTGATATTTGAACTTTTTTCTTGAATTTTGATTTTTGAATCATAACAGCTTTTTTAATCGTTGGAAATGATAAATTAAAAAAAAAATTCTAATCATCTAATCATGATCAGACATACACATTAATTTTTTTAATTACAAAATATTCGATAAAATTTCAAACTTATTATATTTTACTAAGCTTGTATTGATGAATTAATTTCAAACTGGAAAATTATAGCTATTCGTTTTTTTTTTACTAAAATAATTAAATTAATTAAAAAAAATATTTAATAAATTTTCTCTTCAATGGATTGAGAGTTTGTGTTATATTGTGTTGTTTTTATAAGTTTTTTACTTTTATAAAACAAATTAACTTAACAAAATAATTTTCTGGTTAACGTGAAATGTTTCTTAAAATAGTGGCAGGAATTAAAAAAAAATCTTATTTCAGTTTAATAACAAAAACGTAAAAATATCTTTCGTGTTTCAGTTTACAAAAAATGCTCTAACTACAAAAACAGATACAATGTTTTTTTTATTTTTCTCGTTAAAAACAAAATTTTGCATTTAATTTCATTTTGAAAGTCAATGAAAATGAAAAACATTTGCTTTGTCGCTTCTTGTTGGCACTAATTGACAATTAACAATAATATCCTTTTTGACAACAGAAAACGTTAAAAATGATCATCAATCGGATTTTTTTTAAAAGAGATGGCTTTGTTTTTATTATTATTATTATTAATACTACTACGAATTAATTTATTTATTGATTAATTTTACACTTATTTTTATGGGCATCTGTAGTTCCCAGATAGCTCAGGTTTTGCCATTTTCTTTTACAAGTTTATTTTTGTTTCGTTTAAAAATAAATAACATAATAAAAAGACAAACAAAACAATTGTCATCACTTGAAATTTATGAATGATAAGAAAGATTAAATCTTGTATACGATTTCACCATCATCATTATTATTTTACTAATTATAATAATAGACCTGCTGGGCATCCACAGCCCCCAAAAATAGTTCCGTTCTATTGATGGAACCATAAAAAGTCAGGAATGATGACTGTGAATGACACACACTGTAAGTAAAAAGTAAACACTGACAATTGTACACACACACACACAAACACGCGCGCACGCACAAAACACTGAATGTTTTTGGGTCATGTTTGGCTTTGTTTGGGTTTCAGCTTCGGTCTATACCAAATATTAAAGTCAAAATTATAAAAATAAATGTTTGTATTTTAAAAGTTTGACTTTTTTTTACTCGAAGAAACCCGTTGCACAGTGGAAAAAACAAAACTGATTGATATTGTTGTTAAAAATCCCTTATAAATTGTTTGTCTGCACTGACAGTAAGAATGTTGTCAATTTACCGAAAAAAGACGAAAAATAAAAAATAAAAATGTAAAACTCACGCCTCAAATTTGTTGTTCATCTCTGCAACCATTAAAAATCTTTTCTCTGTACAAATTTTGGGTTGAAATGTTGATAAGGCAATTTGACAGTTGAGCAAAACAAGGGAAGATTACTCAAAGGCGGTGCACTGAAAATAATACACCCTCGAACTAAAATTCCGCTTAGACGCAAACGTTGAGTTAATTGTTTTTACTCTTTGCGATTTACTCAGCTGAATTTAGTTTGCTACGAAAGTTCCACTCATCATTAAAAATTTATACTTTAATTTGGGTTCCAATACCAGTAGAAAATACGCAACTGGTATATTTTGAGGCGGGCCTCAAAATGTGCAACTATTCAATGAATTGCATGCCACGTAAAAATAGAACAAGGCTTTTGTCCTCTGGCTACCACGGAAACAGAAACTGTTGATAAAAGAAAGAAAGAAAAAAAAATCAACAAACAAACGAAAAAACAAATAATTCCAGGCTGTCTCTCCCTTTTTGAGAAAAATCGTGGACCTAGTGTTGAGGCAGAGGCGTAAAAATCGAATTTCTGTATCAAAAATATAATAAATTCCCAATTTGTGTTTTTACTTTATTTTTTTTAATTTTATTTTTATTTTTTACTTATCAAATTTACTTATCAAATCTTCTGCAACATCGTGGCCAGAAGCAGCCACATATCGGTGGGCCTGTAACGGGAACGTTTTTTTTTATATAGATCAGGGATCATTAACCACTTTTATCTCTGCGGTACGATCGTATCAGTGAGTGAACACTGAACACGGAACAGTAATTCCAATGGTAATGATCCTTTTCCTTATACGGAAACACTCGGCATTGATTGACTGAACAACCAGTGCTACCGCCGGTTGAAGTTTCTGAAGTTTTTCTATTAAAACAAATTTTCAGGAAAATAAGTTTATCAACTTATTTTCCTGAAAAGTTCACTGACTGTGATCGTTCTTTCCAATGTTGATGGGGGTTTCTAACCTTTTGTTTGAAGTAGCGTGGTAAGTCAGAATTTTGATCATGCGATTATTTTATCTCTGAAATACATGAGCTAACCATTTTCGTTGTGGTCGCCAGTGAAAGTCCTCTAGTGATGTGGTTTCTGTTATTTGGTAAAGTTCTTCGTTTTTTTTTGTGGCGGGGAGTCCAGGGAGTTCGAAGAAAGAGGGTGCTCTCTAAGACCTATAGGGTCCATTTGCAGGAAGGAATTCGCAATCATTGATCTGAGAAAGCGGTTGTATACAGCTGAACGGGTTGGTTGTAATGCATGGCATCCAGATGAAAGTCTCAAGAATATGACCAGAATTCTTATGTTAATGTTTTGGTTTAGCATCGACTTGCAGTGTTGGGTGAAACTACCCCTAGCGCAGTCTATTCTGTGTTCAATTTCTTTATCTCCTACCCTAAATTTGTTATAACTGATATAACGGTGAGTAATATCTTTATGTACCTTGTCCTTTCATGATGTGGACAATCATGGCTCTCCGCAACTTCCTGTCCTTTGCAGCTCTAAGTAAGTTTTGTCTTTTTGTTATTTCTCCTCATCTTGTTCTGCCAACCATTTACACAAGCTCATTCATTGTCTTCAATATGTCCCGTGAGTGTTAAATTCTCCAAGCCCTCTTTCCTCATTATGTGCTCTAAGAATTTCAACTGTCTCTTTCCGATTCTATATGTAACTGTCCTTTTGTTTCTATTTTCCCTAGAATATCATCGTTACTCATATGTTCGGTCAATGGTATTCTCAGCATCCTTCTGAAAAACCACATTTCTGTTATAAAATTTTATATAATAAAAAAAGAAATGTAAATTATATAAAAATAATCAAAAGGTAAATAAAAAAATAAACAATAAACTAAGTTTGTTTATTGCACCTTCCTTTAAGGGGACTGTATAAAAATTTTCATAATATAAGAATGTAAATTATATAAAAGATCAATAAAAAAGGTGAATACAAAAAAATTATGATACAACTGACTAGGTTTGTTTACTGCATTTTCTTTTGAGAGAAGTGTTTAAAAATAATTATAAACAGGGAGCCAGACGGTTAATAAAAAAAATGGCTCGAATAAATTTACTGTATAAAATTTCACTATTACTGTTGCCAGAGATTAAGCCTAAGATGACAAATTTAATCTTCTGTTTGGCTCTCAGTTTCAGCAGAGAGTGGAGGGCTTTAGTCTCTCCTCCATAAGGCCATGGATAAACTATATTTTGCCGCGAATCACTGAAAAATGCTTACAAGAAAATCATTTTTAATTGAAATGGTTAGCTAATAAAATAATTCAATTTAGTCGCAATTTATTTTGTTGCAGGAAACATGATGTTTGTTTTTCTGACTTAATGATTGTACACTCGGAAAATAAGTACTTTCAAAAATGCGCTAAAAAGTGAAAATAAAGCCCAAAACAATAAAAACATTTTATCGGCAAAATCTTTGTATTATTATTAAGAGGAAAGATGTAAGAATTTTCCGTTATAAAAATTGTTTTTTATTTTTAATTTTTTTTTATCCATCTTAGAACCTTGGACAGTTGGGTGAAGAATCGCTGGACCTTAAATTTGTACAGAAATCTAAGCATTTTTTGACGCGAAAAACTCACTGATTTAGAAATTCTTGTAAAAACAGACAATTGTATAATGATTTATTTTAGATTACTAAGAATAGTTGAAACATAATATTTATTCATTTGAGAAGCAATATATAGCATAACATTTTTTTTATCTTTTGGGAATGTTTTCGTTATAGAAAGGTGAAAGTTCTGCTTTCGAAAAGGTTTGATATGTGGTGTCAGAAGAGGAACAAGTGAGTCCTTGTCTGTTCATGTTCTGGAAGCGAAAAGAGACATTGGGCTTCATATCACCCGCTGAGATAGCAGGAAAGCAAACCGAGATAGGATGGCTTTGTAACAAATCCAGAACTCCCATACATGTAGATTTCAGCAGAGCCTTAAACCCTACTGCTGCTATGTGTGTGTTAACTTACTACAGTCAGGTTTTAATGAAACTTTCAGGACTTATTTAGAAATGATTGATATTATTTTTGAAAGTTTTTTTTTTTTTTAGAAATCTTTGCACAATATATATATAGATATATATATAAATATATATATATATATATATATACACACATGTGTGTGGGTGTCTGTGCGAAAAAATATAGTTTTAAATTAATGTATGCTATATTTATGGGTTAAATTGCGCAATATCAGGGATAGATCTTATGTAAATAGAATAAATGAACATTGAAGTTAACACCCAGAGGCGACAGTCTGATTGCGTTTAGCATGAAACAGACCGTCTTCTCTGGGTGTTGACTTCAATGTCCACCTTATATATATATATATATATATATATATATATATATATATATATATATATAAATACTCGTTTGGAAAAAACCTCAGATAGCTCAAATTGTAGATATATCAAAATAAATCGGTAACTGAGGAAAAAAATTGAAAAAAAATCAAACAAAACAAACAAACTAATAAATCGTCCAGTGCCTTAAGTATTTAGTCCAAAGAAAAAAAAACACAAGCGAGTAGTAAGACTAAAATGTAAAGTGCTCAATACGCTAAGTAGAGCAGGAATAACTAAAATAAATCCTAAAGCGCCAGGAAAACCTACCTAGGTTTCACCTAAATCGATCTTCAGGGTAAGCTTACCCTGAACATCCGTTTAGGTAAAACCTAGGTAGGTTGTCTCTAGCTTTTTAGGATTTATTTTAGTTATATATTACATCTCTCCGCCCCCACCTCATTTAAGCCTTTTGAAATTTCGATAAATTCTTTTTGCATCGCCTAAAACTTATATTTGCTATAAGTACAAGTTCTCGGAGAATTTTAAATCATCAAAAGATTTTGGTCAAACAGGGCCTCCAGTTGTAGAAAATCTGCCCTAAATCATAAAATAAAAATCCAGTAAAATTAAGACATTTTTTATTAGAAAATATTTACATTGTTTTTATGAATAAAATATATTAGGGACACAACTGTCTTAAGAAAAAAAAATCTTTTTTTTTTTTTTTTTGAATGAATGAATAGTGAATTTTTACAAGAATTTTTTTTCATTTTCCTTTTAAATATTTAATTATAAACTTGTAAAATTCTTTATTAATTTGTAGAGGTCAAGTGATATTATTATTAAATTAAAACTGTATTTTCTAATTGTAAATAGAAAAGTTCACTACAATTCAACGACAACAGTATTTTTTAAAAAATTAAAATTTTTATGTGTCTATAAATTTGCCAATTTTTGTAAATTCAGATATCTATACACGATATTATCGGTCAATAAAAGACGTACTTATAATAAATTATAAATTTCCCTCTGAAAGTTCTCCACTGCCTTAACCGGAAATTAACAGGAGATAATTGATAACTGACATCCATTAAACATGGCACGTGGAACTAGAACAGTCTACCCCAGTGAGTGAAATAAAGGGTTAAGTTCGACATTCCAACCACCCGAAGAAGACCGGGGCGTACAACGACCGAAACGTTGTAATAAATATGGCGACAAAGATGAGGACAATAGTCCGAATAATGTAAATAATGTACATAATACCTCATCTCAGAAATATAGACAGATATTAAATTTCATCTATTAGCTTGAAATTAAAACTAAATTTAAAGCGTCACGAAAAAAATTTCATTTTTTAAAAATGCATTTTACACGTAGGTATCATCTGTGAAAATATATTTTGTGAGGCTCGGTAAAAAAAAAGTAATCTTTTCTGGACTGCGAGAAAATTAGATCTTTCTTTCTTTCACCATTAAACACCTAGGGCGTATCCGCTTCAACAGATAATAAAAAAAAGAGTAGGCGTATTAAACGAACCACACACAAAAAAAATTATTTAATGATTCAGAACGAGAAACATTACATGGGATATAATTATTTGTAAGAAAGGAAATATTGAATGAAGAGTAATACAGACATTAAAAGAAAATATGAAGGTTTATTATTTTGTGAGAAAGCGCATGTTACATTATTATATATACTTTACTATTCGGACTAGTAAGAGGACTGAATG